ACATTCTTAAGTGAAATTGGCATTTTGTTTACTACCAGTGTTTTTTTTTTACCAGTTTACTACAGTACATTTGTGAAAAATATGATGGCTACCAGTATAAATAGTACCACTGTTTTAATTTGTGCCAATTTTACCACCACTGTTTTTATACCGTCAGTGCAGATATCAACACGGTAAAAAGGTAAATAATTTCTTAGTTCTATTATGAGAATAGTTTTGACCCATCTGGGTCCCTGAACCAGTCTCAGGGTTCCTGAGGACCCACAAACCACACGTTGAGGACCACTGATCTATGCTGAATTGGAGTTGAGCTGACCCACCCCAGTAGTAGGTGTGTAGTATGGTGAATGGAAAATCCCTGGAGATGTTGAATCACATACATTTGGGTCCAGTTCTAGTTTCTATCTGATCCTGAGCAAGTGGTTCCTTAAAATCTGAGAGCCGCAGTTACCTTTGTTTGCTAGCCTGGTTGGAAGGCCAAGGAGATGCTGAAGGGTTATGAGAGTTTGGGGATAATCCTCACAAAGTGCTCACTGAGGGGGAAGTGACTTTTATCATTCAGCAGCAGGACGTAGTGTTGAGAAGGCTGCGTTTAGGGGGTTTGCGGGATTCCTGCTTTCCAGGGACCCTGTGCAACCTCAGGAAGCCTTCATCAATCAACCTTCCCATCTGTTCTTAGACTACTTCAAAGAGTCCCTGAGCAGCAGGAAGAATGTCTTCAGCTTTGAAGATAGCAGGGGGAGAAGGAGACCAAAAGGGTAGCAGGGGGAGGTGAGGAATGTCAGGCGGGTAGAGGGGCCCCTTCGCATGAGACACAGGGCAGTGAGAAGCCCTCACTGAATCTGAATTGATTTTCTCTCTCTTTTCTTGACTACACAAAGTTTAGGACTTTGTCTTCAGCCAAAGCCCACAAGGGATCCCACCCATTGGTTTGGCTTTTCATAAGTTACGAAGTTTTCAAACTCATTACTTGAAAGAATCCTTACACACCAATGTGAGGTGAGTACAGTAGTGATTAGGACCCCACAGAACGGATGAGAAAACTGAGGCACAGAAAAGGGAAATAAGGAACAAGTATATAGAAGCACCAAGCTTCAGATTTAAGACTTTGGACTCGGACTAGCTTTCTTTCCATTGCTTTTTCTCAGGCCCTTCTCCCTGAAGTGAGTTTTCAAGGCCATGCAGCAGTTTTCTCTTTCTTATTTAGAGACAATTTACTAAGGTCTGCCTTACCAGTAAGCAGGTGGGCAGCACTGGGAATGAGGTGCAGTACGGAGTTTAAAAGTATGCTCTCGAATCAAATAATCTGGGTTCAAATCCTGATCTCTACACCTTCTCTTGTAAAATGGGGGAGAGTAACAGTACTTGCTCATAGGGTTGTTAAGATTACATTAGATGTACAGGTACAGCACTCATACAGTGTAAGTACATCTTAAGGTTCAACCTGTTAGCTACTATAAGAATGAGGACAAGCAAATAGTGATTTTATGGGCACAGAGAAATTCCTCCCACGTCCTATAAACTAGTTGAGGATTCCTTATACCAAGTTAAAAGGCAAATACAGCTATTGTCTAAAAAGAGGTCAGCTGTGATATGCCTAAAGTCTCCCCTCTCCCTTCCGATTCCTGGGAGCTGTGGGATAGGCTGAGTGGGTGCTAACAGCCTATTGGCTGAATCTCTGCTCCGATCCACCTAATTGGGAGCTAGCTAACCTATGGGTGGGCAGCCCTGGAGTCAGGTGCTAGCTTCCATCCAATCAGAGACCACCCAACTATGGAACCGGATCCTTCAGCCTTTGCTTGAGTAGAGACCCGAGTAGTAGAACTTGTGTCCCTAGGGGATGGAAACTTACAGGAACCTTATTTTATCCGACAATAGGAAGAAGAGGTGTTTTTTGTTTGTCATTCATCTGTTCTTTGTACTTATTATTTCCTTTCTCATTCCATAAAGACTATAATCATATAACAGTAAAGCAAAATCAGGACAGCAAAATAAAAAGGTGTGGGGTTAAGGAGGAAGGTAAAAATTACCATTAATATGGGGATTTAAAGGGCCAACAGTAGGCTACCATTGAGCTTCACATTTAGCCCTGGGCTTTCTGGAAGCCAAGGTGAAAAGATACACAATCAGGTGCCCCATGCTAATTATCAGAAAGGAAGCACACCTGTATCTGTGAGAGAAGGACAAGGAATGTCTCCTGCCATATCAGTAAACAAAGGAAGTTGCAGCCATCAAGCTATCAGCCACTGCAGCCACTCCCTTCCCCCTGCCCTCTCTGTGGTGCAGGCTACAGAATTCAGGGTGGAGATAATAGGGTGCCAGCCAGCAGTAGATAGTTAAGGTGCATATCAAAGGACTGGTTTCAATGAGCCCAGACTCTTGCATTTTCCCACACATAGAACAGTATTAAATTCATTAATTTGAGGTGTTTGTTTTTCTTTAATTAACATTAATCTTTTGATATTCCAACTATCTAGTTTTTGTTGCAAAAACTCTTATATATCCTGATTCCTCCCTTACCTCTTCTCAACAATTGCTCAGAGCTGAGAGGCTGACTCTTGGGCTTAGGTCCTCAGTAAGTCCACCAAATAAAACATAACTCTCAATTTTTAGGTTGTGTAATTTTTTTCTCAGGTGACGATGCCACAAAGTGGGCAGTACAGACTGGTGGATGAGAGCATAGTTTTTGTTGTCAGTTGGGGGTTTGGGTTTGAGTAAAAAAAAAAAATTAGCGCAGCTTATTCTGGCCTAGAGTTTCTTCATCTGTAAAATTGTGATAATAACAGTGTCTACCTATTAAAGTTGTGAAGATTCAATTAGGTGAGTTGTATAAACATTAGCCGTTAATAAAGAAATTTGCTTGCTACTTGTCATGAGCAGTTCTAGGTGCTGGGGAAAAAGTGATGAACCAAACAAACAAGATAACTTATCTTCAAGTAGCTTTTATGTTGGAATGGGATAGAGAGACAATAGAAATGAAAAACAAATGATTGCAGTGTGTTGTGGAAAAACAATATAACAAATGCAAGGATAGATTTAATTTGACTGGTTCTCTCAGCCATTTTCCAGAAAAGTCAAAGGTATAATGTTAAAACGCAACTCAGAGTAGATGAATCTATTAAGGGCCTTAGATAGTTCAGTACTTAAATGTAGAATTCAAAAGGTTGTTGTGGATGGGTTACAGTTTTTTTTTTTTTTGTATTTTTGTTTGAAAATTCACTTCTTCCATCTGAGCTTTGGTGGAAGCAATCTGAAATGTATTCTGAGTAGAACCTTGAGCACACTATACTTACTTGCATCACCTTTAATTAGTTTTAGCCTTACCACAACTACAGGTGAAAGATACTACCATTGTTCTATTTTACTGGTTAAGTAGAGTTGTCTTGATCAGGGCTATAGAGCTAGGAAAGGATGCCTCCCCAAAGTTTGTGGGATCACCTTCGGTTTTCTTTTTCGCCCATTCCCCACCTGTTTCTTCTCTAAGCTGGGCTTCTCCGCCAGCCTCTCGCCCGCCAACGGCGTACAGATGGTCTGCAGCCCCGCCCACCTACCTCCAGGGCGTGACCACTGGCCCCGCCCCCGACCAACCCGCGACCGCCCGCCTTCTTTTCCCCGACCGCCGGCTGAGGGCCCGAGCGTGAGCGAGCGTCCTCGCTCGCGGCCAGGCTCGTTGTCGGGAGCGCGCTCTGTGTGGCCGCTGCCGCCATGTTGTTGTGGTTGTGAGAAGGCGGCGGCAGCGGCGGAGCAGCCGGTCAAGACGCCCCAGCGGCCCAGGCGCTGGCCCCCGCCGGCCCTGGCTGGGAGCCTTGTA